ACAAGAGTTGTGTGAGCAGAATCAAAGACCCAAAGCCTTCTTAGTTCCAGAAACAGAGGTGCAGATCCAGACTCCTTATTTTAAGGAGGAAACTTTTTTCCCTGCAATTGTACATCTGAAATAATGACGGAAGTCACCGGAAGTGAGATCTTGCTGTAAAAGCAGTACTTTGCTCCAGCTTTTCAGAAATACCTCTAAGATATAAAGTAAGGTCAAATCGGGCCTGCGAAGATACGGTGAGTCACCATCAATCAGAATTGGGAGGACAAGCCAGGAACCGCTCACCCCACTGAATACCCTGGATAAAACATCTCTATCCTGAACCAGAAAATAAATGTCCACAGCTGCACTTGGCGGGTGGCCCGAGGGTCCGTTCACCATATGGTCACCCTTATTATCATCCTCCCAACAAGTCCAGGGAGATGACAGGCGGGAACCACGCTCCTGCAAGTGGCTTACGGGCCGAGCAAGCGTCTCCTTCTCATGACCCTGCTCCGTCCCTCCAGAGAGACTTTCTGCCCATCTCCTCTGGCATCGCATCGCTTCTTGGTCTCTACTTCATGCTCAGTTTGGGCATGCCGAAAGCCCAACCCTCTGGTGCCCGATGCCTAGAATTAAGCTGCTTTTCAGAGGGGAAGAGAATGTGTTAACAAAACAGAATGGGAAGCCTCTTTCCTGGACCTTGATCTAAGGCAGGATCTAGCTGGTTTGGGATAAAACTTGGAATTTTAGAGTAGGAAAGAAGCTTACGGATGATCACACGCAGTCATTTTGCTAAGATTTCAGACACTATGAGGGCCGGGCGCGGTGGCTCACGCCTGTAATCCCAGCACTTTGGGAGGACGAGGCAGGCACATCACTTGAGCTCAGAAGTTCGAGATCAGCCTGGTCAACGTGGTGAAACCCAGTCTCTACTAAAAATACAAAAATTAGTCGGGCGTGGTGGTGCACGTCTGTAATCCCAGCTACTCAGGAGGCTGAGGCAGGAGAATCGCTTGAGTCTGGGAGATGGAGGTTGCAGTGAGCCAAGATCCTGCCACCGCCCTCCAGCCTGGGTGACAGACAGAGTGAGAATCTGTCACAAATAAAAAAATAAACACAATAAGGTTATGTTTTTTCCAGTGAGGCTGCATGCAGGAACTCAATAAATAGAAACAGGCAGAAAGCAAGCTGTGATGTCCATACAGTAGAAGAGGAATATGGCCATCCAAACAAAGGAAGTCACAATAAATGCCACACACACATGGGTGAGCCTTGAAAACACGATAGTAAGTGCTAGAAGCTAGTCACAAAGGAAGGCACATTCTATGATTCCACGTGTAGGAAATGTGCAGCAGAAGCAATGCTAGAGACGGAAAGCAGAGAAGGGCTTGCACGGGACTCGGGGAAATACGGGGATTGAGAGACGATGGCTAACAGGTGCGAGGTTTCTTTCTGAAGCAATGAAAATGTTCCCAAATCTGCTGATCGCGGTGGCTCACGCCTGTAATCCCAGCACTTTGGGAGGCTGAGGCGGGTGGATCACAAGGTCAAGAGATTGAGACCATCCTGGCTAACACGGTAAAACCCCATCTCTACTAAAAATACAAAAAATTAGCTGGGTGTGGTGGCGCATGCCTCTAGTCCCAGCTACTCAGGAGGCTGAGGCAGGAGAATCATTTGAACCCAGGAGGCGAGATCGTGCCATTGCTCTCCAGCCTGGGTGACAGAGCAAGACTCTGTCTCAAAACAAAAAAAAAAAAAAGAAAAAGAAAATATTACAAAGTGGATTGTGGCATGCACTGCCCACATCTGTGAACTAGTCTGGCCTGGCTGACCCAGCAGAACCCCCACCTACTCCTCCTGCAGAAGCGCACCAGTCACCCGGCTACCGAGACCACTGACAGCCTGGATGACACTGTCAAAGCATTTGAGGGTGGCATGAAGCTAGTCGGCCATGACTTCAAACTCATTCAGCAGGTGAGGTCCTGGCCACGTGTGAGGTGCAGCAGAGTGTCTAGGTGGCTGGGTGGGGCAGTCGTGGCCACGTGTGAGGTGCAGCAGAGTGTCTAGGTGGCTGGGTGGGGCAGTCGTGGCCACGTGTGAGGTGCAGCAGAGTGTCTAGGTGGCTGGGTGGGGCAGTCGTGGCCACGTGTGAGGTGCAGCAGAGTGTCTAGGTGGCTGGGTGGGGCAGTCGTGGCCACGTGTGAGGTGCAGCAGAGTGTCTAGGTGGCTGGGTGGGGCAGTCGTGGCCACGTGTGAGGTGCAGCAGAGTGTCTAGGTGGCTGGGTGGGGCAGTCGTGGCCACGTGTGAGGTGCAGCAGAGTGTCTAGGTGGCTGGGTGGGGCAGTCGTGGCCACGTGTGAGGTGCAGCAGAGTGTCTAGGTGGCTGGGTGGGGCAGTCGTGGCCACGTGTGAGGTGCAGCAGAGTGTCTAGGTGGCTGGGTGGGGCAGTCGTGGCCACGTGTGAGGTGCAGCAGAGTGTCTAGGTGGCTGGGTGGGGCAGTCGTGGCCTCTGGAGGGGCGTCGTACTTGTTTGCTGAATCAAGACAAGAGGCTCAGAGTGTAGACACCGGTGGCCAGGACCAGATGTCAGGACTGTAGTTGTGGAGCTCGTTCGAAAGCCTTAACTGAAAGTTCACTTCTTCAGTAGCTACTTGGAGATGTGAGCCAACCTACGATTGCTGGGCCGATTGGGGGAGGGAGTTGGGTAGAAAACGGGGTGCTTTTTAATTTTAATTTAAAAAATTTTTTAAAAGATTTAAGCATCCTCAGCCCCAAGTTTTTGCTTGTTTTCACATTCTCTCATCAGACTGCAGTTCATGGGGAAATGTCTAGATTATTGCAAATCCTCCCTGATTCCATGAGAGCTTGGAGTCCCTTCCGGCCTTCTGACATTGTTCAAAGAGCTCACCGAGGCTCAGGCATCTGGGATTCGGTTTAAGAGACTTCAAGTTTTTGGATTCTTCAATCCAAAGACAGGATTCTATCAAGAAGGGCGTGGGCTCGTCGGAGGGCCGCCGGTCACTGGAGAATAAGCGGAAGGTCGTCTCTCGGAAACTTTGGAGAAGATGGAAGTTGAGAAAAACCAGAAAAAAAGGACGCTGAGAGTGAAGCCTCTGAGCAGATCTGGATGATGGGAATGTCCAGACGAAAGGCAGTGACATCGGGCACCTCCAGCTTAGAAGGCCCCAAAGCCTACGGGTTATGGTGTCCTCGGATTAGACCTTCCCAAAGAACGTGGAGGAAGCGAGGCAGCGTGCAGGATGTGGGCTTGCGGGGTAGGGCAGGAAGATAATGCGGTTTTCTTTCTGGAAGCCCCTTCCATCAGTCTGCTGGGCAGGAGTGGGGACAGGGACCGGCCCAGGTTAAGTCTGGGACTTGTTTTGTAGGCTGCATAGGAGATGCTGGTGTGTGAGAAGCAGAGAATCACTGGGTGATTCCGTGGCCAACAGCAAACACCTCAAGGCCAAGCTGGTGGATGAGAATCCGCAGTTCACCAAAGGGACGTACAACATGAGGGCCTAGGGCTTAGGAGGACAGGGGAACGGGGGAGTGATGGCTAAGAGACGTGGGGTTCCTTTTTGGAGTGATGAAGATGGTTTTTTTTCCTTCAACTTTTAAGTTCCGTGGTCTGCGTGCAGATGTGTAGGTTTGTTACGTGGGTAAACGTGGGCCGCGTGGTCTGCTGCCACATCAACCCCTCACCTGGGTATGGAGCCCAGCACCCGTTAGCTGTTCCTCCTGATGCTCTCCCGCCCCACTCCGACCCCAACAGGCCCCGGTATGTGCTGTCCCCCACCATGTGTTCATATGCTGTCATCATGCAGCTCCCACTTACAAGTGAGAACGTGCACAGGTATCTCAGAATCTCAAATAAAATACAATTTAAAAAATAAAAATTAAATTAAAATAAGATAAAAATGTTAGAATAGACCTGTCATGGCAAAAAAAAAAAAAAAAAGTGAGACCACGTGGTGCTTGGCTTTCCGGTCCTGTGTGAGTCTGACGAGGGTGATGGCTTCCAGCTAAATCCACTGCGGTATTTATTTCACGGATCTGTGAGTCTCACCTGGCGACACTGGGGCCACACTCCCCCACTGTGCCGCACTGCTCCCCCGCCTCTCCCCGCCTTCCCCCCGCCTCGGCTGCACTCCTTTCTACCTCGGGGCAGTCGCCTGTCTGTTTCATGTCCTCCTTCCGGCTGTGCTTGCCCATGTCTGCCTGGACTTGACTGGCTGTCCCCTGCAGCCCTGCACTGGTTTACTTTTCCTGAGTGTGACGCAGCCAGAGGCACTGAGGGTTAACCCAAGAGCACAAGCCCCGGCTCTAGTCCAGGCGAGAGCTTAGGGTTCCTGTTTGAGGGGTTTTGGTGAACTCCTTGCCCCGATTCCTTTCTGCCTCTAGCTTGGAGCTCAGCAAGGTACCGTTTAGATCTGCACGACATCTACAAGCATCCGATAAAGACGGAGGAAACAAAAAGTCTGTGCATCCACTAAACATCCCTAACTGTGGACTTGAAGTGTGTGAATCTTAGAGTGTGTGAATTCTGTATCAATAAAACTGTTATTTAAAGGAGGAGGAGGAGGAGGAAGGAGGAGTGGGGGGGAGGGGGAGGAGGAGGAGGAGGAAGGAGAAGGAGAGGAGAAGGAAGGAGGAGTGGGGGGAGGGGAAGGGGGAGGAGGAGGAAGGAGAAGAGGAAGGAGAAGGAGTGGGGGGGAGGGGGAGGAGGAAGGAGAAGAAGAGGAAGGAGAAGGAGTGGGGGGGAGGGGGAGGAGGAGGAAAGTGCTGTAAGTGCTCCAGCAGCCAGGCCGTTCCTCACCCCATCCTAGAGTGGTCCTGAAACCATCTCTGCAGGCTCCTAGAGCTCTATAGAAAGTCATTAAAACGGCCTGTTCTAGTCCAAGTTTCTGCTCCTCAAACGGAAACCAAGACGGGAACCCAAGTCTCCGGACTCAAAGTGCCAGGCCCAGCATAAATCCAAGGTCTCAGCGACGAGACGGGGCGTCCCCGGGTCTTACCGTCCATGTCCAGGCGCTGCATGATGATGGCCAGCTCCACCTCGCTCGGCATGTACCCCAGAGAGCGCATGGCCATGCCCAGCTCCTGCTTGGAGATGAAGCCATTCCCGTCCCGGTCCAGAACCCGAAAGGCCTCTCGGATTTCTACAGGGGAAAAGCAGAGAAAGGCCGCTGGTCACACGGCTGGCTTGGGGCACCGCAGTTACTGGCGACGGTCTTCCGGGAACTCCTAACCGCTTCACAGTGAATGGTTAAAACTCTCTAACCAGATAAAAGGAAGGACGGAAGGAGAATGCAGAAAAAGCAAGCAAGCGAAGAGAAGGGAAAGAGAAAAGGGAGACAGAAGGGAGGAGAGAAAGGAAGGGAAAGAAAAGGAAAGGGAGAGAGGAAAAGTGGAAGGTGGGAGGGAGAGCGGAAGGAAGGGATGGAGGAAAAAGAAAAGGGAGAAAGGGAGGGAGAGGGAAGGAGGGAGGGAGAAAGGAAGAAAGGGAGGAAGGGAGGGAGGGAGGGAGGGAGGGAGAGAGGGAGGGAGGGAGGAAGAGAGGGAGAAAGGGAGGGAGGGAGGGAGGGAGGGAGGGAGAAAGGGAGGGAGGGAGGGAGGGAGAGAGGGAGAGAGGGAGGGAGGGAGAAAGGAAGAAAGAAGGAAGAAAGGAAGGAAGGAGAAAAAGAAGGAAGAAAACCAAAGGAAGGAAGGGAGGGAGGGAGGGAGGGAGGGAGGAAGGAAGGGAGGAAGGAAGAAAGGAAGAAAGGGAGGAAGGGAGGGAGGGAGAGAGGGAGGGAGGGAGAAAGGAAGAAAGAAGGAAGAAAGGAAGGAAGGAGAAAAAGAAGGAAGAAAACCAAAGGAAGGAAGGGAGGGAGGGAGGGAGGGAGACAGCTGGGCCTGAGCATTCTCCAGCTCTCTAAGAGGCACACAATTCGATAGTAGTCCCAGCAGAGAATCATGTTAACCAAGGACACTTTCTGAGCAAAGACGAGGCTTTTGTTTCAGCTGTGAGGAGAAAGCTCCTCTTAACTGCAGTCCTCGGGAGGAAAGGAGAATGCAGTTCCCTCTGCAGACGTATTTCACATCCCTGCAGCTGTACGAGCTGTACAGAAAGCTCTTTCAGCCTCACAGGAGAAGAGTTAAGTATCCTGATGTTTTTATTTCGTTCTCCTAATTTACAGGTGTTTTGTGGCTATAAACAACCTCAGATCAATAAGAACACCATGAAAACTCAAAAGACACCTTTAATCGCTTTGTCCCCGGGCCAGGAGAGAACCTGCCTCTGCGGTCAGTAAGGACGGTTTCACTCGGCAGACAATCTCCTCTCCTGCTCCCCTAAACCTGAGTTGCCCTAAATTCCACCCAGACACACTGCAGCTGTCAGTCCTGACTGGATTTACAACACAAGGAACTGGGGGTTACAGTTGGAAGATGAAAGGTTCATTAATTGTATCTGAGCATACGAGACCTCGGGCAGCTTTGACTTCTCATCAGTAAACCCGGTGCGACCCCGGATCTGTCAGCTGCCATTATTCACCGTGCCATGTAGTAAGTATTGACGTTCTATCACGTGAGAAATGCAACATTAACACATACAGAGAAATAAAAATGATCCACTCGGCGCTGGGGTTCTCCCACTCAGCCCCAGACCCCACTCAGGATGGTAAGATGCATGCAGAAACTTTCTATCACTCTTCAAACGCGTACGAGCCACTTGGCTCTGACTCACTCACTCACTACCTCAGTGAATATCTGACCATGCTCCTGTCACAGTCATTACCACAGACTTGGTGACTTAAGGCAATAGAAATCTATTGTCTCACAGTCTGGAGGCCAGAATTCCAAAGTCAGCATCATTCGATTTCAGCAGAGCTGTGCTCCCTGGGAAGACTCTCCGGGGAAATCCATTTGTCTCTTCCAGCTGCCAGAGGCTGCTAGCGTTCCTTGGCTTGTGGTCCCATCATGCCAATCTCTGCCTTCTCCTGTTCTGTCTGCAAACCTCCCTCTGCCCTGCTCTTATAAGGACACTTGTGTTCACATTTAGGGACCACTCAAATAATCCAAGATCATCTCCCCATCTCAATATCCTTAACTTCAGCACGTCTTCCAAGACCTCTCTCTAAGGTAGCATTGATAAATTCCAAGGATACCTTTGGGGGCTGCCTTTCGGATTGCTACACTATTCCACACAGTGATTGTGCCTGAAACATCTTCCCTTCTTCCTTCCTTGCCCAAAATGATAACCATGCTTCAAGGCCAAGCGTGGAGGCTAAAGCAACTCCATCTTGGGTGTTGATCTGCCATGCTGACTTCTGACAAACTAGCTCTGGGAATGCGCCCTAGATTTCTATGTATCTACTGTTCCTTGTGTGCGGGCATGTACTTACCATACATCCCGCCCTTAGGTAGATTCCTGCCTTTCCCTACAATCGTCCCACACATTCCCTCCCTGGGGTATATAAGTTCTGGGTCTGGTAGGTGATGGCCGGGGGATCCACCGTCTTGTCTCACCACCCCACAAGACACAGACATAGCTGTGTTCCTAGTAAATGTTTCTTTCTGAGAAACAAGATCCGTCGGCCTCCTTCAGCCTCTCAACTTCCTCGGACTTGGGGAGTAAGTCTGGATAGACTTACCCACTGTGAAGGACAAGCAGGGGTCATGGATTCCACAAAACTGTCTTCGCTCACCGCAGCCAAGTTATGTCCCTTTCTGCTGACTGTTCACATGGGTCATTCATCCCTGTCTTGTGACACCCGGCTCGCTCCACCTAGAAATACTGTGACTGGCTTCTTTTCTGAGCGTAAGCACCTCCTGCCTTCCTTCATCTCAGTGCGCTCCCTGCCCACACCGTAGGAGGCCCTAGACGGGGAGCCGTTGAAGGACTCAGGTGTCCGAATGGGCAAGGATCATACATGAGAAGTAAAGTCGTTATCAGCATGAACGCAGCATGCTGGGTTCCTTCCGTGACACACTGTGGGCTCCGGCAGCGAGAAGCCCGGCCTGTGCACCAGGACCCCCGGCTCCCAGCCAGGCGTATCAGCTAATTAGGTCTGCTGCCAAACCCTGGAGGCCTCAGTGTGTTCATGCGTGAAATGAGCTGTGTGGGCAGCGAGGCCCCCTCGGGTGCCCCAGTCCTTCTTCCTGTGGATCTGCAGACATCACTGACGTGTCGAAGTGAAGCACAGAAGCTTGTGGTCTCTCTCACCCTATTCACCTGCCGTCCAACACCTCCTCCCCTTTCTTTCCATCAGTCCAACCCAAATTCTGAATCAAGGCACTTGTCTGCGTTTTGAGCTCTTCTCATCAACGAACTATGCCCAAGGTTACCTAAAACAGCTGCATGTTTTCCTACCAAGTCCTGAGTGCCCTGGGCGGAGCTTGGAGCCACTGCTCGGCTTCAGGCCCAAGGACGCTGGGGACATGGCCTCTTGTGGCCTGAGCTCAGATCCCCCATTACCAAGGATGGGAGGATGCAGAGGCCGGGCCTCCCAGGGTGAGAGTCAGCCCGTGAGGCAGTCAGCACCTCTCAGCCAGCTGAGAGTCAGCACCAGCTCTGCCCTGCAAGCTGGTGCAGGCTTCCCCCTCAGCCTCAAATTCCCCATCTGAAAAAGTGGGTTAGGTCTGATCTCCTCCCAGCCTCTAAAGCAGCAGGTGTTTACACTGGGGCTGGGACACACCATGCAACAGGAGAGAACATCAGAGGATGACAAGGTCTGCGGCTGCAGCCACTGGAGAGCTGCAAGCCAGGCCTTGCTCTCCGTTCTCCGGAACACCCCTTCCCGAGGCGTCATCTCCATCTCCCAGTACTTCTAACTCAACCCTGAGCTCTCTGGGCCACCGATATGGCTAGACAGGGTGGGTGCCTTCCACTGACAGGCTTGGTCCTGATCCTGTGGGGTCTCCCTGTATGCCCTGGGTCTTACAGCTGAACGTGACCCCACCTCCTTACACTGGACGACACCCCAGAGGGCCCCGGCTGGGGGGTGTTTGAGAACATGGCCTGGAAATGAGGACCTCTTTCTGAGAGGGAAGCACCTTGTGCCCTTCTTTCACCTTAGTTCCCTGCCCACTGTAGGAGGCACTTAGCTAGCCACCAAAGGACTCATGTGTCTGGCGGGTAAAGATCATACATCAGTGGTAAATCAGTACCAGTCCAGCATGCTGAATTCTTTCTGTGACCAGCTGTGGGCTCCAGCTGCGAGAAGCCCGCCCGTGCACCAGGACCCTAGGCCTCACGACAGCGGAGCCTCCGGACCCCCGAGTTGCCCCACCTTTGGGGCTACTGTATTTACCAAGTCAGACCATAGACGGAGGTCAGAGGCCACTCTAGTACCTCCCTGCTCTAAAGGGATCTGCTCCTTCGAAGCCTTGCATGCCTGTGCTTTACTCTCTGTAGCCTGTAACAAGGCTGGCCTCCTCCAAACAAGCCCAGGACAGGGCTGGCCACACTTCAGCTCAGGGTTCTATTTTTCTGTGGCATGCAGGTCTTCTTATTCTCTATTTGCACAGAGAGTTCCTAGCTCCCAGGTAGAGAATTCATGTCAGTGTGTGCATATGCATGTGTGTGTGTGCGTCTGTGTGTGCATGTGTGTCTGTCTGTGCATGTGTCTGTGTGTGCATGTGTGTGTGTGTCTGTGCCTGTGTGCGTGTGTGTGCATGTGTGTGTCTGTGTGTGCATGTCTAGGCATGTGCATGTGTGCAGGTGTGTGTTTCTGTGTGCCTGTGTGTATGTGTCTGTGTGTCTATGTGTGTCTGTGCATGTGCGTCTGCATGTCTGTATGTCTGTGTGAGTGGGCATGTGCATGTCTGTGTGTGCCTGAGTGGGCATGTGCATGTCTGTGTGTCTGTGTAGGTGTGTGTGCGTTTCTGTGTATACGTGTCTGCGTGCCTATGTGTGTGTGTGTGTATGTCTGTATGTATGTCTGTGCATCTGTGTGTGCATGTCTATGTGCGTGTATGTCCATCTGCAGAAGTGGACAAACCTCACTAACTTCTTTTTTTTTTAGAAATAGCAGAAATAGTGGAAAAAACATTACAGAACTAGAAATCTGTAACAGGGAGCTCTGGAGACTGCATCTTTCTAGGGTAAGAAAAGCCCAGGCGAACCAGAACTTGTGAGAAGGAAACAGGTCTCGCGTTCTGGGAGAGACATGTGATA